TGGTACAAGGAACTCCAGATTTTAAACTGAAGGACTTTATGAGCTTCTTCAAGGTAGGTGTTTAGTATTCTAAGTAAAGATCCGATGTACTGTGAACATAGCCTAAGGTACAGTGTGAACACAGTGTGAGGCTGTGTTCACACTGTACCAGACAGCTTTTGCGCCGGCACAAAAACCGTACTGGATAGGACTTCTGTTCCCACATAACAACGGTGATTTCGGCGCGATTTCTTTAACAGAGCAAAGCTGCACAAGGCACTATGATATGCTAGGGAAACTTCGTTTACAGTCGTAAATATCGTTTTCTTTGATTGTCGTCAATTATAAATCGATTTGAGCACAAACGTTGAAGCGTTTCGGCGGTTCGTATTAAGCGTGCTAGGAGAAGTCATGTGTTGTGATCTTTCTTTTATTTTTCCCTGCTGCACAGGAAAAGTATGGATTGCAGGTGTCTATTGTAGTACATGGTGTGAAGATCGTTTATGTGCCCTTACTACCGGGGCATTCTAAAAAACTGGACCAAAAGTAAGTGTTACCTGATTCTTCACTTTTTAACCAGTAAAACTTCACGGTTCGGTCAAACCTGGACCCCACTGTAACTCGCAACTTCATGGAGCGAGACTCGCCTTTTTCTTGCCCAACCTTTCACAGACATCGCGCGGACAACTGATAGTCAGGTCTCTTAGTGCAAAATATAGGCCGGATCGTTACAGACGTGACAAAAGTGTCAAATTTGGCACACAGCTTCCTTAGCACCTACCGATTAATAATGGAGGGGGTGCCCGTTACAAATGGTCCTAATTACAGATAAAAGGGGGGGTTAACTTTCACCTATAATAGCAGATTGGGTGCCCTGTGGTGAGTACTCTTCTTGTCTGATTTGGCTAAAAAACATTTGTTTCAAATTTTTAAGTTTTTAATTTGGTAATGTTTAGTTGTTGTTACACTATTCAAAATAGTTTTACATGTATATAATACTGACTAGTGCCCAGTCTCCACACGGTAAGTGTGGCCATGTTCACTGTGCGGACTGTGCGGCTATCAGTGTCACTGCTAAGACTTGCAAGTGATAATATCATTACATATCAATTTAAATAGATCACAAAGCCAGCTTTCAAAGATGTCATACAATAACATAAAACTCAAATGTATCACATCCTTAACGATAGAATCGTTAAAGTTTGACATGCCACATGAACGACCTCATGAACCGTAACTGACAACGCGCCCACTTTGTAATTGTGCAGCTAAGATTAGATTATAATTTGCTTCTTTGGTAACCCTGTCCTTGAGATAATAATTAAAACATGTCAACCTCGTCCTCAGGGGGAAAAAGAGGAGCAAGGGTGGCACAGTTGGTTAGTGCGCAGCCTTCGGGGGGAGAGGTCCCGAGTTCGAGCCTGGTGTCAACACCTCCTTATTTCAACTTCTCTATTTTCAATGTAGCTTTGACTAGCTTTAAATACCCTTAAAACGGAGAATCAATGGAGAGAAGGGGGTAAAAGGAGCGCACCGTCGACCTCAAGTTTATCGGTTATTATTACTGTCACGAGTTATTGACGTAAAATATGGTCGCTTTACCTTTTTCTACCTTTTTGTTAAGCCCTGGGGAAGAGGTTGTAAAATATGCCTCTCCAGGAATTTTTAACACTCTTTATTTTTTGCACATTTGCATTTATTAAGAAGTGTATGAGGTCCCTGCATGCCTAGACACCTGTAAGCGGTTCATTCACTTCAGAGCCTTTGGACCAGAGTGTTACTGGTAGGTCTATACGATCTTTCAAAAAAAAGGAAGGTCGTCGCGTGCGTTACAATTTACAAACAAACTAACTTCAGAAGAGCTGAAAGTTACAGGAACAAGACCTCTTTTAGCCAACCAATGATGCATCATTTATGAAAATGAATGTAATTTGTTTGATGCAATTAGGCGAATACTTAATGGTTACGAAATCTTACGATCATAAATTCCTAAAGAGAAATTCAGTTACCAACTTTTCACAAAATAATGCTGTGGAAAATTACATAAAATACCAAAAAAAGCAAGGGTCAACAATAATTATGGCCTGGTCCCTTATAATAATGGAGTGGTCATGATAAAGAAGCCCATCAGCCCCAACTGTGACCACTCAAACAGATTTTTGACAGATTACATACTGCAAAACTTTGCATTCACTTATGCCTATGTTGCCACACCAGGAGCCTAGAAATCGGCTCCTGGTCACACCTTGTTTTTATTGCTGAATATCATTCTAAAGAGCTTTACGAAATATTTTGTTGATAGGGGTGTTTTGAACATGATTGATATTTAGAGATGGTGACAAAAACGAACACAAAAAAGTCACAAAACGAGACGCATGAAACAACCGCAATCTAATATTCGTGTTACACCGATATAATGGCTCCTTTGGCTGCTATGCTGACGTTTTTGAAGATGGAAGTAGTATCACAGCTAGTCCCGGGTTAGGTATACCATTTATTACCAGTTTCACGGTTCCTGAGACTTAGGGCCCGTTAACATAAAGGTGGGAGACCCCAGGTAGGTAACCTGCTTAGGTGGGGTAAAAAACATGACTCTCCTTTACATGCAATCTTACAACCCCGCCATCCTGGGGTGCAGTTTCTCAAGATTATTGAATGGTCGCTAAGCACGTAAACAAGAAAAATGCTGGCAAACCACGTCTACGCTCAATTGCTGCTCTTGCTGCAACCTTCAGTGTTGTGGCTTTATATTGTTACCTTTAATAATTATGTGAAGCCACTCAGCGCCAAAATGAATTTTGCGCGAATTTGATGTATCACGAATCCGACCCCGACTAGCCTGGGTTACCTCACCTTGAAACGTTGACATGGCAAAATTTGACCTCAGCTGAGAGGGTTACCTGGTGTGGCAGACCGGGTTACCCACCTTGAAGGGTGACCCTCAGCAGTTAAACTATTCATCATTTATCATTTGAGTCAATCTTGTACCACTTGAGTCTCACTTTTACGACTTGATAAGCTGTTATTATTTTTGAACATGAGTGCCTTCAGTGCCAAATGAAGAGGCTTCATGATAAACTGTGCTGTTTTTTGAAGCTTGGGCTAACTTGTTTCTTTTTTTCGTTTATGAGACCAGATTCTTTTTTCTTTGTTTTTGCTTTGTAAAGCTTAGACAAACTGCGGAAATTGTAAATGATATGACTTGTGCCACGGTGCTTGCTTCTCTGTCAAAACATGCACTTGCGTCCAGCAGATAACTGGATAAAGAGAGACTGAAAGGCATCCAGGCCTATGTTAAGCTGAAAAATTAATTACCTCCCTAGGAAAGAACTATTTTGGGTTCTGTCATTTCGTTATTTGCTCTTCATGAATAGCTGTCATAAATCCCTGATAATATGTGACACAACAGACTCTTTGACAATTTCTTTTTTCTGAAATTTTGTGTGTAAATCGCTATGCCATACGCTTTCTTCAGCTTAAAGTGACATGTAATGACAAGTAATACTTGATAAATAAGACTTAAGCCACACAATAAGGCCTCCTCTAATTGAAGTACATTAGAAAAGGGGAAGAGAACCCCAGAAGCTGAGTACTTGCAAGTTATGAAGCAAAGACGAGGCCATCTTAGAAATGACTTATGAAAATGTAGGCGGACTGTGGACTTGCTTTGAGGGCACAGTAATAATCAACTTAATTATACAATCAATAAGCAAAAATGGATGGGAATGCCAGATGTTCGAGTGAAATTGTTGTTTACAACATGAGAATAGAATTCAGAGTGATTTAAGGTATTAAATAACACTTTTCGATCAAAACACCACAGGGACCCCAGCAGGTGAAATTTACAATAATTAAATCCTGTTTAGCACGCTTCAGTGGCATATTTGCAGTGGGCACCCCCTCTAATATTCATGGTACTGCAATAAGCTATCGCTGTGCAAAGTTTGGTACTTTTGTCAACTCTGTAACGATCCTGACCCTAAGAGACCTGACTATGAGTAGCTTGTTCCAGGCGTTCTGTTGGTGGAGTGCGAGAGAGTAAGAGAGCGGGAAAAAGTAAGGAAGAAGAGAGGTAAAGAGGAGAAAACGCCTGTGAGATTAGTTTTCAAAAGGTAATTCCGCCCACTTTCTCGGCTAGTAATCCGACCCTAGTTTCCGGTGTTAACAGTTGTCAATCAAGCAACGGTTGACAGACCGCACTGTTTACTGAATTATGTAAAATGTACTACGGGCTTTTCCTCGCTCTCACCCCCTAGTCCACCCCCTCGCCGTTTTTTCCTGGTCACATCTCTTTGGCGCCGTCCCCAGGATCTGAGCGCCTGGAACAGGCTAACTACTGAGCAAGAGAATTGCCCAGGGAGTAGGTTGCCGTTGTGGGATTGGATTGTCACCTGGCTGTGTAGGGGTGGTTTTCATGTCTTAGTGACCCACAGAGTAGCCTGTGTCGCAGACTTATCTAACCTCGGTTAGTAACGTCTGCGAAGCAGTGCTAAGAATCTTGTTCTGCGCCCTAACGCACTCCACGAATTACCAGAAGTGCGTTTTGAATTTCCCTTTATCCTATTGGCCAGTCGAACAATGGCTTTTTTCAAATAGGCCAACCAGAGTATGTTCTCATTTCTTGGTACACAGCAGGGGGTCCAGGATAAGGTTTTCGGCGCCGGATCGCAGATGGACTTATCCAGAGGTTTAGTTTCGTGTGTGGCGCAGACTACCAAGTGCTCCACGTTTGCTGAAGTAGGGCCAGCCGTGCCGGTCTGCTAGACGAAGAAAAGGGCAGAGGCTAAAAAGAGTAATTCCCGTATACTCCAAGTTGGAGTTAGGAGTTTCAGTCGCGGCAACATTTCCGCATGATCTTAAGCGAGAAAAATATAATTTCTTCGTTGGTTGCTTAGCGTAATAGCTTCTATCTCGATTTTGTAAAAGGCAAGCAATAGTGCCTTTCTGCTATCGAAGCACATTGATTTTATTTAATGTACTTTGCAATTACCTATTCACAGGATGAGCAAATTAATAAAGACCTCTGGCAAAGCCTATGTCGACCTCACCGTGTCCTTTGAGGGTGACGCCAACGACGATGACGATCTGCCAGGACCTCCCGTGCGGTACTATTTTGGGTCCTAAATGAACAAGCCGCTTAAAGAAATCACCTCTGAACACTCAACAATGCGGTGCCTCATGGAAGGCTGTAACTGATACTGGCCGCAAACAAGAACACTTCTTGTTCTTTCTGTGTGTAAATTATCGCTAGAAACGCTTACGTTCGAAAGAACGAGTACGATTACGATATTTCAAAATAGGCACTGTGAAAAGCTACATTTTATTTTTATTTTGTTTTACACCAGAGAAATTAAGAAGGGTTATTTGTTTTGAAGGCCGTTGAGCCCTCTCCAATCCGGTAACCGAATTTCTAACATTCGATGACTTGTTACAGCAACTTCGAAATTCTCGCTAAAATCCCCAGTAGAATGACGACGGCTGTCGCGTTCTCCGCCCGAAATAATCCTGGTTCACTACTTACTGTCGAACCTCCCGTAAGCGACCACCAAAAATGCGACGATGTGGTGGTCGCCTGTGGGAGGTGTTCATTTACCAGAGTCGAACCAGAGAAGGTCTTTTCGGAGTAGAGGTCCCGACACTTCTACTCGTTGGAAAATAATTTTCTTTACGCAATTTCAATGTTACGATATGTGTAGTTCTATCTCGTCACCCAAGGTTCTATGAGTAGCGTGTTACAAGAGGTTGAAAACGGTGGAAAATTAAACCTTCACCATAAAAAGTGGTCGCGGTCGCAGTCGCTTATGAGAGGTGTTCCTTTACAAGAAGTTCTATGTATATGGCTTTGACTTCAAGAACTTCACCCTTTGGGATAGATGATCGCTTATGAGAGGTGATCGCGCATGGAGGTTCGACTCTGTAGTATTGAGAAAATTTCGGCCTCGTAGTCGTGTTCGACTTGGCATCTAAAGGACTCTATTATGTAATAGGTAGTACAATAGAAAGTAAACGCTATTAAAGTGATGGGTAATTCGCTGTTTTCACATACACCATAATGCACCTTGTTTACCGCCCAAAATTTTGCGTAACTATTATTTCCAATTTCTCCATGGTATTACAGTCGTCCCAAGAGAAATCGAAGACAATTGTGATGCAAAATTTTCGGGGGGCAAACAAGGTGCATTATGGTCTGTGTCAAAATGGTAAATTCTGAGACTGCGCGTGAGGCTGGCTCTTTGTTATGTCGAATTGCACTATGGGGTTGTATTAAAGATATCAGCGCTTCTTTTACTACCCTGACAATGAGCGGGAAACTGGGTCCAGATTCGTCCTCCAAAACAATGCCATAGTTCAATCCCGACTCACTATTAAGCGCAGCCTCAACGTGCCCCATTACAGCAAAGTGAATATCTTCTTGTACTACAGGTCGATGACAGAATAAACATTTCAGTGTATGGCATACTAGAAGATAGCCAGTGTCTAATAATGACAATATTTCCTTTATTTCCGTGCTCACGCTTACGAAATCCAGGATTATCAATTGGACTGAATAGCGAACACAATTCTTTGCACAAGTAGCCAATCAAAATGCGCAGACACAAAGAATGCTCTATCCACTGGTTTGAATTATATGAATTCTTTTGAAAGCGACTTTGACGTCCGCACTCTAAGTTATAACCTGATTTTTGGACTCAAAAAACGACAATTTAAATCTAGCGGGCCGTAGTGTAAAATTTGGTCTACGATATTGACCAATCGTAGAAAATATGTAATACTAATCGTAGGTAGGTCTGGGAGTCCTTTGAGGTTCTGACGCAAATATTTTATTGAGTTTGTGAAATGTAATGTAAATGTAGGTGTATCGAAGGACAAATAGTCCTTAAAGTTAGGACAATTCTGTACCAAGATTTTGAGACACTCATCACGCATTTTTTTCTAGTTTTCTACGTGAAAGTGGTCCATTTTTGTAATGATCCATGGAATAATAGTCACCGTGATAATTAACAGCAAAATAGTTTTGTCTTCTTATTAATTTTAGTAATGAAAATGTAAAGAATACGTACAAAACCAACTCCACTGGCCAGCAATTGTACAGTAAATTAACGGTAAAATCAGTTGTAAATTAGAGTTAATACTTTTCTGATGTTACCGCAAATAACATTGTAAGAGAGAAAAGCATTTTTGTCAGGAAGAGTGCAAAAATTAGGTTTTTTTTGTGATGTGTCCCAGCATCATGTGTCCGAGGTTATAGCTTTTTTTCCCCCTTTTGTACCAACGTGTTATTTTCTTTACAGTGATTTTACAGTGATTTTCTCCCGTGATTATTTGGTCAATAAAGATTTTAACTTTGCTACAGTTTACAGCATGCCAATACAGCTGCCTTTCATCGCTCCCCGTAGCTGAATACCTTTCAAACTTCCGTAACACAGTCCAAAAGAAAGAGAATAAAATAGTAGAATATTCCCGCCCCTTTAATTATCACAAACCGTAAAAATCAATAAGCGTTGTCCTTGAATAGTCGTCTCTTCCTTTATCTAGATTTGAAATATTACAAGCCAACCTCCTTTTTAACCTGAGAAAACGTGCCCCAGTTCATTTCTACGAGCAGGATAGCAAATTTTAACTATACAGCCGAGAATCATGTATGAGCACTAGAAACCAATTTTCGCGAACCCCGTCGAGTGTCATTAAGTCCAACATATTTCTGATATTTAGATTTAGCCAGAGCTAAAATCGAAGCTCCCGTTCATGCATTTAAAAGTTACTGCAGACAATGGACTTTAAACCATTGCGAAGAAATCATAAATCTACACAAGTACTTAACTTTAGGGAGAACCATATGACTGAAAAACATAAACTTGAGCCTGCGATCAACAATTAAAAGCTAATGACTGGTCAACGGAAAACTTCAAAGAACAAGCGACATATCTGAGACCGCAATACGGTCATGTGTCTCTGGTCAGCGGATACCTTTTTGACAGCTTTAATAGAAAGGAGAAGTCGTTACGTCACGTTGCCTTGGTAGAAACATTTTTGGATGACAACAAACCGAAAAAGTCACTTAAAAGTCTATTCGCACTATTTCAAATTTCACAACAGTAGAACTCGCTGCACAAAATTCTGGTCAAATTTAACACATACGCTAACGCTAACACATTTGTGAAAGTTGACGGTCACTTTCAAATATAAAACTAGAGAGCTCTGAGGGTTATTTGCTGAAGTTAGGGAAAAATCTGTCGTGGTATTTCGAAGTTATTTACATTTTTCGTAAAATTGCGGTTTTAAATATATGTCGATATCTCAGAGGTTTTTATACCTACAAGAAAATAAATAACATTTTTTGAAGGATACCAAAACTCACAGAAATCGGTTGAATTGTTCCTTCTGAAAAACGCCAATCAAAAACTTATGCAACACGCATATAAATAGGTTCGGGCCTACGGGTCTATGGGCTGGCTACGCCCGTATTATCTATCGTTATATAAGTTTAGAAAAGAAAGCGACAATTTTTGTGTTGTGTTCACCTACCCCATAAAGCGGGCTCGTGGAATTAGGAAGTTTCATGTCGTAGTGGTGCAACGACAGCAAAAAAATGTACAAAATAGCGTGATGCAAGTACAAAGTTGTTGTTTGTTAATATCCCCAGAACATATTATTTTTTGCCTTTCACCTTGCCGTCGCCGTCGTTGTTGGTTTTGTTGTAATCCAGAAATAGTGCTACCATGGTAACGTGACGTCACACTTCTCCTCTCTATTGACCAAAATATGGATGTCCATTATCAAGTTAAACATGGGTTACAGTCATCCACACTAGCTACCGTAGAAAGTTTGACATTTTACATTGGTTTGCGTATAGTGCGGACGGACGGACCGACGGTCATGTGATTACCAAAATTTCTCGGATGGATAGATTACCAAATTTTCTTAGGTATAGGGCTCCGCTCGCGCGCGCGTGGAGCTCCGCTATAAAACAGACACTAGTGTCATGGGTGTTCGCTTAAATCAGATATATTTTACGATAAAAAATTCAGCACCGGTAACCTTGCAACCCTTTGTTCTTTCGTTGAAACAAAGCAGCATAAACTACTATCAAGTGTTCGCAACCATGGCTTCCTTGGGGGTTTGTTTAGTGAAACGTCACAAGGTGACTGTCGCTTGGGAGTTTCCAAATATTGACTCTTGCACAAAAAGGGCCAAAACGGAAACCTCCAGAAAAATAATAGCCGATACCATATTCCACGTGACTATAATTCCCATTATGTCAAAACCAATGTTTGGAAGAACGTTCTGCTGGTAGGATATATACTTTTCAAAGTTAAACTTGGGTTTCTTTGCGTTGTGCTTCATCTTTCCAACGGCCCTAGCAGCACCACGAAGAACAAGATCCATGACCTCTCGTCGTGATCTCTTCGGGCGCTGTTCCTTTTCGTCAATATTCTCGTCTTCAGACACTTCCACGCTGTTTGGTTCGTGTCGGTACGGCTTCGCGTCGTCGCCCGAATTCTCCGGATCGCTTAAATGTTTCGGACTAAGATGGGTCTGGCCGGCGTAACTTCGGATGTTCGGTACGTCCTCGACCCCGGACTTAGCTTCACTGTCTGAATGTGATGTCAGGGGAGTAGAATTTGATTTCTGTATCGGAAGGTGGTTGGCTTTACGAGCACTTTTCTTTGCGCTGCTAACTCGTCTCCATAGACTTCGTGCACGTTTCGTATTCGTTTGTTTCTCGTTTTTCCGATGCCTCTCCGACTCGGCCTCCTCTTCTTCGGAGCTGCTCTCGGGTCTTTCGGCCCAGGCTTTTACTACCACCGCCAGGTACCTAGAGGACAGGTTATTGAGCAAAAAGTAATTTGTAACTTTAAAAACCTACTTTTTGAAGTGCCAATGTATTTAACACAGTTTGACGTCTCCTACTGGAGAGAGAATGGCCATTTCGACGTGGTCATCCCACAGGTTTTCCAGGCTCATAACAGCCTCCTCGAAACCAAAGACGATCACAGGGCAGGAAACAATCAGAAAACAACACAGAGAAATCTCTTTAAGAGGTATGTACACTTGAATGGCTGTTTATGTGTATTTTAACCGTTTTATTGAACTTACGATAAATTCCCGTAAAAATCCTTATAATTTGGATTCGAGGAGGCTATTGTGAGCATGGGCTTCCTGTGGTCATCCTCACCAAGAGAAGATCTAACCCTTTGCAGGGCAAAGGCAGTAACTTCATTACTCAGTTATATTAAAAACCTTTAATACTGGTCTGGCACCGCGCGTGATCGAACCGGCGACTTCTCGCTCACGCTGACTAACTCTACCTACTACCTAAGCAGTCTTCATAGCGCCCTACCGATTAAAACGCTGTTTAGGACCCAAGTGGAACAAATACAATGTATCTACTAGGTATATATACCCTTTCTAACCCACTTCTCCTTAAAATACTGCCCTGGGTACTAGAGGTTTTCATCTTGCGAACGGCTTTGTGCTTCGGTGTCGGCCGCAGGGGGACAGATCTTCGGCCGAAGGCCGAAGTCACGAGCGGCGAAGCTACGAGAAAAAAATTTTCGCGCGCGTCACTAGAAAGACTTGACCGAGGCCGGGAAGTGCGCATTGAAAGTCTCTGGTACCCGGGGTATCAAAATACATTGTTAGGTAATAAATATTGCTGGTTTGCACTTGACGTCACGGCGGCTATGTTGGTAGTCAAGAACAAAAGCATTTCTCTCCTCTGGGAACTAAACTCTATTTTCATGTAAATTGTTCGAGAAAAAATTCTATTGTATTGACCCCAAACATGGCGGCCTTGTCACGTGGTTGCAAACAAAGAATAAAGAAGAATTTCCGAGCTTCGACTCGACTTGTTTCGTTTAACGTGATTAGCTCGAATTTCAGAATCCTTTCTTGAAGATATGATTTATATTTCACATACCAGGAATATTGCTTGTTGGTAGTCAAGAACAAAAGCATTTCTCTCCTCTGGGAACTAAACTCTATTTTCATGTAAATTGTTCGAGAAAAAATTCTATTGCATTGACCCCAAACATGGCGGCCTTGTCACGTGGTTGCAAACAAAGAATAAAGAAGAATTTCCGAGCTTCGACTCGACTTGTTTCGTTTAACGTGATTAGCTCGAATTTCAGAATCCTTTCTTGAAGATATGATTTATATTTCACATACCAGGAATATTGCTTTGTCACCCAGGCAGCCATACATAATGGGTAGATCGCTGAGATACTGGGGAGTAACGCGTAAATGGCAAACACGCTCATCCTGGTCTTGTACAAAAACAGAAATGCGTTGACTGCCAGCGAGGCGATACTGTAAACCAACAGGACTGCAAGTGATACCTGAAAGGAGCGATGACATCGATCTAGAGATCAGAGTACGGACGGCAAGAAATACACTTGTATATAATAAAAATCATAAGTCTTAACTTCTGCTACGCATGCTCATTTTAGCGCTTGGAAATACTTTTTGTATTTGAAAGTTTACGGTCTTCCCACCCAACCGGTAGGTCAGTCGTTTGGTCGGTCGGTCAGTGAGCTAGCTAGTCAGTGAGCCAGTTAGTTAGTCAGTCAGTCAGCCAGCCAGCCAGTTAGTCATTCAATTAATCAGTCAGTCTGTCAGCTAATAAGCTAGTCAGCAACTAAGCCAGTCAGTTAGTCAGTCAGTAAGCCCTCTTACAACCATTTTAGTCATCTGTCACCTAATTCGATCAGTCTATCTGTAAACTAAGTTTAACGTGAGATCTTACCCTGCATACTGACGCTGACTTTCTCACAAACTTTCCTCTCTCTGCGAATGACACCACCGCTTGTCTAAATGTGATAAGTGAGTCTCTGTTGACCAGGTGTGATCTTATCTCAGCTAAAGAATAGGCAAGGTATACTGTCAATAATTGGATAATTCGTCAATGAGAACTTTATCTAGGAGTTAATCTATAGATTAAGACAATTTGCAGTCGCTCTAAGCGGATTCCACCATCTCAACTGCTGCTACATACTAGAAACTCTAAAAATGCTACCCTATGGTAAACACACCCATCAACCATGGGCTAAACCTTGTGTCGGTATCAACGGTATTTCAGTCTTAGCACGATAGCAAGCTTACATACCGTGAAACTCGATCATAGAAAATCCCGTCATATGCATAACACAGACGGTGAAGCTCCAAAACAGCCCAAAGGCAGACATAACATAACAGCCTGCTAAATATCGCACCACTTTGAGTATGATAAGCGCGTAATCTGGGATCTCGGAATCTTTCCTGCTCAGGTCAATCTTGAGGTCCAGCGTCTCATCAACGTACAGGCAGACATAGATACCTGAGCCACAGACAAGTCCAAATATGACGGCGAATATTGGTAGCCACTGAAGAGAGAAAAAGGAACAGTGCTATAAGTCTTACGCTATGTTCACCCTCTACATGTACCGGGTAGCTTTTCGTGCCCACTGGAACAAGTCGTTCGCACACATCGAAGATCGAGCCGGAGCGGTTGGCCGAGAGGGATTGGTTCTCCAAATCCCAATCCCCACTCCTAAATATTTACTTCCGTCTCAGTGGGTTCTACGTATCCACTTCCGCTTCGGTCTGAATACTTGTTCACACTACACAAAAATGTGTGCCACGGAACCGATCCGGTACGTGACGTTCCACTTTCGAGATCGGCTGCCCCGTAGCAGAAATCGCGCCGAAATGACGTGCTCAGGCGTGAACACAGACGCCCTATGCGGTAGGGTTTCGTGCCGGCGCAAAGCTATCCGGTAGAGGGTGAGCATAGCCTTAGTCAATTCCAAGCGCTACTATTCCCCACCCCCACCCCCGTCGCAGATACCACGGCGAAGGCGATGGCGGTGAAAACGTCACTTGACATAGTGACTTCGCGTTGTTTGAAACTTCCGCGCGACTATTCTACTCTCGTTCACTCTGCAGAATAAGCAATTTTAGGAGCAGCATTCACCTCTTTAAAGTTTTGCATTGCGAAAGGTTGGCGCCAAAAGCCGCTTTATTTGCTTCTTACTTGATATTTAGTCTAACCTTAAAAACCTTTGCAAATCTAGCCAACGTCTTTGGATACTTCTTGTTTTCTTCCAGAATCAGCAGTCCCTTTTCAAGCCAAGGTAAAATTTTTCTGTTGGTGAAAATCGTGCACACTAGGCACACAATCACGAGACTTATCGATACTGAGGCCCATCCATAAGTGTACTTCTGCCTCGCTGCTAAAAAATCTAATGCTCCATGAGCGGATAGCATTCCAAGCCACAAAATACCGCCCAAGACACCCTGAATACGGTAACAATGATGCGTGTAGCCAGTAAAAGTTGCTGCAAGCAAAACAGGTCTTAAAACTTCGAACGTTTTAGTAGATGGCATGTCAATGGTTCCTGTCTGGATTCCTGGGTTTGGTGTTTCTATGGGCAGGGAAATGTTTCCTTTTCCTCTTTTACCAAACAGTTTACGAAACATGGTGGTGTCGAGGTGAGGGCGGCTTCTAAAATGAAAACAAATAAAACAGACTTAGCTGATTATTTGCCACATGATCGCAAATAGAGCTTGTAGCGAGTGTTGGGCAAAGACGAAATCCCGGCGCGGGTTTCCAGTAGCTCTGTGGTAAAGGCGACCAACCTGCGTATGGAATGCAAATGGGGTCGAACCAAGACATTTCCTTATTACAGTCGACTCCCGTTATTGCGGACACCCTCGCGGGAAGATTTAGTGTCCGTAATAGCGAGAGTCCGTAAAAGCGGGGTACGTACGGGGTACGGGTTTCTCTTTTAAAAACGTACGAAATCATATGGAAAATTCCCAGAAGCCTTGTAGTTTCGACAATTCTTTACTTCTTTATTTATATGGACCATAAAAGATTAAAGTAGACTGCAAAACAGTCGGTTTTTTTCTCAAAATCAGTAAAGAAATCGGTAAAGAAATCGGTAAAGCATCTCTCCCCAGTCTCGCTCTCTGTTTTCAGCCTCATTCCAGACCTTTTGTTTGACTGCTCGCGCGTACTTGAATACGCAAAAATACGGACTGTTTTGCAGTCTAAAATTAAAGATAATAAGTAAATAAATATGCTGTATTAATTACTTCCAAGCTCTTTCAATGACAAGGGAAACATAAGAAAGGGGTTTAAAAAGCAAACGGAAAGGGGGGGGGAACCCCCCCGGCCGAAAAAGTCCCCAGCGCAATTGGGACATGCCTATTACAGACCCATCTACTTGAACTGTAAACCTGAAAAAAACTTCATTCGATTATAAGTCCCCTCTAGCCCCAGTAATTAAGACCTCCCTCTGAATTTGCTTTATTGAGACGTTTTGAAGCTTAATAAAAACCAGTAAATGGAAAACGTATTCTGATCAGCACTGCAACAGTTTGTCTTTGAAGGTTTTTTTTCTAATCCCGCCGTCTAAAGACTCTCTTCATATTTAACAACGTCGATCCGATCCTCATGTCTACAGACAACCTCGTCCCCAGGGCTTTTTCCTTAAAAGGGAAAAGCCCTGGGGACGAGGTTGGTCTACAGACTGACATCTGCTTACATACATGTATGTATAGAATATAGACAAAAACTTGTTCTTTAATTTTAGCCTTTATTCTGGGGGGGGGTGTACTCAATATATCCTTGGGTGGGGAGGTGCGGCCCGGTCCCTCATACCCTGACCCTGTTAAAGACTAAAATCGTGGATTATCCTACCCTGTTTAAGACAGAATTCCGATTTTTGATACCCTGTTTAAGACATTTAACCCAAAACCACACCTTGTGTAAGACAATAATAAATATCGAAACTCTTTCTCATTCAATCCATTGGCAATCACAAAATTATTTAAAAAGATACCCTGTTTAAGACAAAAAATGACAAAATCGATACCCTGTTTAAGACAAAAATCCCGAAAAACATACCCTGGCTGGCCGCACGTCCCCATTAAACCCTTATAAGGGAGTACCCCCCGGGCCTTTATTTTGATTTAAGATTTATAACATAAATAATGTAGGTATTTCTACCACGTACTCCCGTGGTAAAGTTGTTGAATATATTACAAGCCCCTCAGTTAAAAAAAAGGATAAAAGTGAGACAGTACCGTTTAAAAAAAATAGGAAAATAAATAGAAGGTTAATTAAATCACACTAAGTATTCATACGCTTCTAGAAAATAATGGGAGAACTGTGGGCGACGAACTATTTCTGAAGTCAAACCTTTCACAAATTTTAAAACTGACAACATCGCCCAGTCAAACTAAACTCTTCTAGTCAATACGCCAGCTGCCGCAAAAGCTGTAAGGATTTTGTTTCGTATTGAAGGGCATTTTCTTGCTTTTGATTGAAAAATATAATTATAGTTTTTGTAGTCAAAACAATGTGTTTTATCTGGTAGAATATAACTCAAAACAACCAAAATGATAATTGCGCAAATCAATGCAGACCACTGTAAGTCAACAGGCAGATATTTAAAATAAATAAACAACCCTAACATGGTTTGGGCTTTATCATAACAGACTGTGATATACATACGAAATTTATCTTATTTATTTCGCCAAGAAAACAGTTATTGCATCGAGTGGTGTAATAAGATTGAAATTTAAACGCGGAACCTTTTCTCGATAATTGCTATAATTATGCTGAATACGCTGCAGGAGCCTGAAGTCATCACCGATGAACTACAATCGATCGATCGTTCGAACATTTGAGAGTGATTTCTGGCGAATCTTGCCTCCAGCCACTTCAACTTGACTTGGACGTTCCAATTTGCTTTTGAAACAGACTGCCGCTTAAAACTTTTAAAGCTCCGCCGTGTGTATATTGATCCTCGCTGACGATCATAAACACAATGATCTAAACGTAAAACCAATATTTCGCAAGCTAGTATCATATCTCAGATATCTGAGAAATGAGTATAGCATTGTGAAAAACAGATAATTTACATTCAAGAGAAATACCAATATGGCAACGTTTGCAGTATTGATAAAATTGATGAATAAAAAGATGTACGAAAATGTGTCAATTTCACAAGTACATTTCAGGAGTGAAATGGACATGTCAAAAGTAAACATTACCTCTCGCATAGTGGTACATTCTGATCGAGTTGGCACGGCTTCCCAGTAGACTAGAGCAAATCGTGTTCGTTTTGAAACAAACGAGTTGGCAAATGCAAGATTCTGTCCGTTATTTGAAGGGAAAAGAAACGTTTTCCTAATCAATCGAAAAGCCGAGACGAGTCACTGCTTTCTCGTTGCATGACGCGGTAGTCAATTGACACAAGACGTCAACACTCAACGCTACGCACCTTCATCTGAGTAAATAATATGAGTAAATCTGGCAAATTGGACAATCGATTCAAGTTTGCAGAAGAATATGAAATAAACAGAGTTTTTGTACCATAATTGGTTGTTAGAATCGCCGAATTTTAATCCTGTGAAAACTTCAGTTCTGTTCTCAGTCTCTTCCTTCAGTTACAACGCGATTGCTTCTAGTTGCCAACAAAACCCTGTACCTCTCTTTTGACCCTTTTGTCGCACCGAGGAAAGGAAACGTCGCTTCACAAGTAAGATCAAAGACCATCAGAAGTGAAGTGTGTTGTTAAATGAAAGCTGTTTGTCTGATCTTCAATAAAATACAAGTGGGACATCGGAAAATTATACCTACTGACAGACCGTTTATGTCATCTCTTGAATCAGCGTTGTGTTTCTGCAGTCCGGTGCATTCTTTGACTAATCCGTCATTTTCCCAGATTTCTGCTTGTTTGCGTTACCACCCCGTAAATATTTTTCCTTCTACTGAAATAATTTTTATGACTGAAGACAACCAAAACACGGACGATACTGATTTTTGATCGCTATGAACAACGGCGGATATTTGCATATCACGCTCATAAATTAGGCTGTCAATGAAGACTGATTACCTCAACAAAGAAAATTATTAATCCAGTGGCCTTTCTGGTCTCCCTCCTGCATTTCTGTGTCGCCTTGAAGAAACCATTGTTCTCGCCCTCTCTCTATCCTCAAGGAGTGTGTTGCCACAGGTAGCCCAAGCTCGAAATGAGCATCCGCTAGCATCGGCATATGTTGCGTAACATTCAAAACATAAGAATTTCTATGGGAGAAAAAAACCTATGGTTTCTGTAACCAACGAAAATGAAACGATTTCAATAAAAAACAGTTAACCTTACTTAGAATGTGTGTTACATCTCTCCTGTGTGGTCCAAGGGCCGATTTATGGTCGTTTTTTGGGTTTTTATGTAAACGGTTTTCTCCCATACAAATTCTTATATTTTGAATGTTACGCAACAATGCCGATGCTATTTTGAGCTTGGACTGCCTGTGGTGTTGCTAGACTGCGGGCAAACTCTGCTCTCTAATTCTCGGGGGTAGTGGGGAGAGCGCCCCTGGACAGCTTGCTCGCAGGCTCACGGTTGTTTCAAAAGGCGCGAGAGTGTAAATATAGAATACAGTGTAATCGGAAAGCTCTACTTACAGCCACCTTCACAAAACCCCGTTTTTCTCGACTCCCATACAAACTCTGTACTTTTACATTCCGGTAAGCGGCCAGCTCCAGTTACGGGCACTATTTTCGCGTCCCGAGGGTGTCCGCCTACGAGAGCTTACACTGTGCTTCATGGAAAGTGCTAGTGTACGGTATTTGCTAGCCTGTGAACAGGCCTTTTGTCCCTTTCCTCGCTATTTTTCCTCAAACAGAGAGTTTGTTCACAGGCTAGGTATTTGCGGGCGTACGTATCACTCACTCGTTCGATTTCTGATACAAAAACAATGAGTGCATATTTACTGTACTAAGCAATTTCCATGTGGTTTTGTGTTTATTATATACATACTGAGACATTCATCATTTTGGCAGCCTTTTTATTTCAAATCATTCCAAAATGCTAAAAGCAGCGAAATGACAAACAAAAATTAGTAAAAACGTTTTGTTAATAATATTAATGAGGGTAAGGATATGAGGTAATCCAAGAATTACAAGTAATGTTAACTTTTCGTTCCGAATGCACAATTGAAAATAAATGAATTTAACTAAAATGGCCCAAGACAAAATAGCACTGATCAAAATAAAAGCACAACTTAAGCTTACGTCTCGTTCTGTTTTTCCCCATTCCGCTGTTGTTTAACCGGCTCCCTACAATACTCTTCATCGACAGAGAAATACACGAAACTATTCCACTCTAATTTCTGAGATGTTTTTCACCTTTTTACGAGAAAAACTCTTCTAGAGAAACTTTTCTCGTTGAATGTCTGCGAAGCACTCGCAAAGCCTAAGTTGGCCTGTTGCTTTCCGCAGTACGTTCTAGACTCCCTTTCTCTCCCGCCACGAAAGTCAAGATAGATAAGAATCAGAGAGATAAACTCCAGGAGATGGAAGAGGGGGATGGGGGGTTAAATGCCACTGTTTTGGCGGACATATTTTATTTTCACCATCTCTCCCGCAATTTGTCGCTCTCGCCTGTTTTGGGGGCAAATAAACCCTGAGCCGCATCCTGATTGTTCTCAGTAACGGATCCAGACCTTCAGAAAGGGGGGGGAGGCGGGCGGGCGGATATGGGGGGCCCGGTCTCAAAAAAAACATTTTCCGGCCCTTCGGGCCTCACTGGTGTAAAAATAAGGGGGAGGCCCAAGCCCCCCAGGCCCCTCCCCTGGATCCACCACTGGTTCTCCTTTAGGGGTTAACTGTAAATCTAAAGTAATTTTCTTATTTGACACTGTGAGCGTTTATTCGAGGACATACGGTATCTGAGGGCGCTCTCCATTTGAATTGTCAGAACTGACTGGCCAGACCATCCCCGTCGCAATGAGGATCTCATTTTTAATCAAAACTATCAAGCCAGATCAATCAAATCTTAAATAGTATGCACGAAAGAGATGAGTTTTCATCAAAAACTCTTGAAAAAAGCAATTCTATTGTCAAAAATGACTGGTCCCGCCATAATCCAGCCAGTTACTTCTGACTTTTGGAAAGCGCCCTGAGTTTTCAAACGAAATGCAGTCGCAATCAATGACAGTGCAATTCTTTGCAAGGAGAACCAAGAATGCAGTAATAGACGCGGAAAATCTTAAGCGTCAAGAAGCAAATTAAGTCACTGTCCCTTGCCTGGCCGTTACTGGTCTGTGCAACTGCAAATGAATATTTCGCTTATTTAATGCTGCCATAACTACGGTGTGAATGTACCAACCCTCCTGACCAACCGGATGCCCTTGAAAAGAAGGGGGTTTGAATTGAAAATTCAGTTGAAAAACAGACAACTTTCAAATATATAATATCCCTATAAAGCCACTGAGAGACGCTGCTCCGAAGACCAATCCCTTTAACCAGAACGTTTTTCGACTTTTTCGCAGCGTCTCAGTCAGCACTTTTAGGTCCTCTCACAGACCGAAATGCCTGCTTCATATAACTCAACACTGGCTTCAAGTAATGAATGCCTACCCATTCTTTTACCAACCCTGAAAAAGGTACCCGTTTTGCGCGGAGCTAGCTAGCCTCTCCCTAAAGGCTATTACAGGGAGAACCCTCCCTTCTCGGCTTAGGTTGAAGCTTAGGGTCCTAACACAAGGCCAGTGACGCGACGAAGATAAGGCACTCCTCAGTCCCAAAATCAAATAAATGAATTATAAAAGAAAATGAAAATGATATGCGCCACCCCACTGATCGCACCTTACTTTTTATTAGCCCTAACTCGCAGAAAAAACACGCCCATAAAATCCTCGTTCCCAGGGCTTCTCTTTTGAAATCTGGGAGGGGATCTGGGACGAGGCTGGTAATGCACAGGAGGATACCATTTGACTGGGGATTTGAAGAAATTGTCATTGTATTTGTTTAAGAACCTTACGAGTTTCTGTAATTTTTTTTTATTTGACCAAGTATTCTAAATAGCCAAAAATTGTACATAAAACAACACAGCTTCATGCTTAACGTTAACGGAAGTAAACTCTATGTAAGCGTACAAACTAGGTATAAACAGTTCCAGCTTTAAAGAAACGTTCAACTGATGTTCAGTCTTAAAGAAATTAGAACTCACGCAACTCAAATTTACGCAAATTCACGCATTTTCACTTCACGGATATTCACTCAACGAAAATTCACTCAAGTTTAACAGTTGTGGTAATCGGAAAAAACATTAGGAATTGTCCTTGCTCAGAGTTTAATTAAGTGGCAATACACCGCTACGAAGAATAAAAGATCTTTTTAACTTAAATACAAACAATAATAAGTACTCTTAGAAAACAATAAATAAATGAATATAGCAATTTTAAAACATATTCACATGATGAATTGTTTGAAAGTTAAAAAAACACCAACGAGAAGAACTGGTTAAAACTAAAAAATCGCTTCAATTTGAGAACTTGTGTATCCGCCAAGGGGACTCCCATATGGCACCATATCGGAACCCCCTAAAGGAGACCATATTCCGACACTCTACGGCATGTATATAGATATATTTCTTTACGCACAGTCGACCCTAAGCAATATTAAGCCAAAAATATTGTCTTTTCGTCCTAAGAGAACACGTTGAATATGAACTTTGAAACCTAAACAACCCGGGGTAGAGGTTGCATTTAGAGTCTTAGCTTTCTCCTTGATGAAAAAAGAAAAACGTTGGATTGAAAACAAAAAGCGATTGCTGGATAAGCGCAACAGATGCTGAATGCCTTTAGCCATCAGTGTTTAAATTCTTCACACGACCTGTGTTACAAAATGACCAAATTAACCGGAGTTCAGTGAGATAACTTTTGATGCAGTTTAGCACCTCTTCTTATTAACTTTCTTCTTATAGCACGCTTTTTACGACACACCCAGATGCCAGGCGGACAGAAATTAGGGTTAATCTTGCTTGTGGGACGCACACGCCCATTTTCAGCCATGTTATGCACCGAGGATCCATTGGATGATCCGTGCTTCTTGTCGTTAAAGCGAGCATTGTTTCGCAACGGCATTGGCGTGGTCACTTGACTGGTTGCGTTGATGACTATTTTGGCTGCATTATCCCCCCTGGTCGTATCAGGATCACTATCATGTTTGTCATCATAACAGGCTATGATTCCGTGGGGACATTCCTCAATGTCATAGGTGGATGGTACTTTTTGATGACCCACAGGGAAGTTGTGTACCGAATTTGCTACAAGCAAGATGGTTATGGTGACTTTGATTAGAAACATGTCTGTCGTGTCAAGCTAAAAGAATTAAAGAAGAAGAACAAAATAAATAAGTTTAGTTTCAGTATTAAACGTTTGGCAGGAAATTTTTGTGGTAACTAGTATAGTCTGGTGCATGGTTCCTCGGGGGGGGGGGGACTCCCATATGAAACAGACGGGGATGCTCGTCGTCTCGCTTAGGGGTGTAAATTTTGGATTTTGGTCTCGCTTAGGGTGTTCCGGGCAAAGTGCCAATATTTTAAGCCGCCAGGGTCTCGTTTAGGGTTCCGCGAAGAAACACAGAATTACGCGAAGAGAAACAGAAGTCAAATTTTCTTTTTAACTTGTTTTGTTTACCGCATTACCTCTGTGATTATAAATCAAGTGCCAAAGAGACAATGCATGAACATGATGAAGAACTTGAGATTTATGACAATGCTTTTAAGAACTACTTTTAGATAAAAGCATTCGATGATTATGTCTTTATATCATTAAAACTCATTGCATGTCGTATTTGTGTGTTTTTAAGCGGTCTCTTTTAGGGGTCAAAATTTGCTTAAGCCACGCCCAGATTGGTCTCCCTTAGGGGTCACAAAAAGCTTGAACCACGCCCAGATGGTCTCCTTTAGGGGTTAAATTCAAAATTTCCGACGAGCATCCCCGTCTGTTTCATATGGGAGTCCCCCCGGGAATGGTTCATCGGTTTTCTACTATGGGCGAAAACTTTTTGCGATGGAGTTTTGCTATTTTCAGGTAATCAGGTTCAATAGGAACGAGCGAACACTTTTGTATTATATTATAAAACTACTTGCGTTTGAAAAGCGAGTGAAACAACATGCTCTTGAACAAGTTTATCAGTTTTAATTACTATATCAAAATTACATCTTATCCTAGTGTGGCTTGCTGTTCCGGCATTATCTCCCGAGTTACTACAGGCATTTCCTCTTTCAAACCACGACCCAGTTGTTCCAAGTCCGATAAGCTCTAGTGACCTGGGTTTCTTTTTCTTTTTTTCAAAAGCACTTTCTCGGATAATTTTCTGTATTTCTTTGTTGAGCATCGGCAATCATCACTTAGTTTTTGCCACTGCAAAGAAACTAGGTCGTGTTAACTTCGCAAAGACTTATGGGACTGTAAGTAGGGATAGGAAAAAGACTGGCCAATAGCAGACCGGCGCGTCCCCAGTAACGATCCCTGAAACAATAGCAGTTAAAAAGGCACCCCTTTCGTATACCTTATATTGACAAACCTCAAAACCTAGTTTAGAACATTCCATTCCTTTAAACTACTGTAAATGCATTGTCTTTTAAAGTGACATAAATCACAAAACCAGGACTGGGTTGTTCAAACATGGAGTAAGGCTATCCAGCGGATAAATCACTATCCAGCAGATAAGTATTAGGGAAACCTGTTGCGCTACGCAGTTGATAAATATTTATCCAGCGGATAGCCTTTCCACCTTCTGAACAACTGGGGCCAGAACGTTTTCTTGCTAGTTTTTCTCGACCATAAGATGCATCTGTTATGCCATTTGGACCTTTTTACAGACCAAAATGACAGATTTCCTAACCCCTTCATATACCTGAAGCCTAAAAACAGTACCCCTTTCGAGCGGAGCCTTCCCAAATAGGCCACCATGGGGAGTACCTACCGGGAAAAATCCACGGGGCAAAATGATGCGTGGAGACACTTACTATACTCAATGAGACAGAAGATACTGATACGCCTTCCTAGTTATCTTTTATATACTTGCTGTTAATTTATCAACAGATTGTCCGGATGCGATGCTTCATTCTTAGCATTAAAAGCAATCCATGTACACGATAAGACACAAGGATACTATTACGTCTTCTTTCAAGTAATCTCTCTTTAATTTTATAATTAAGTGCTGTTATTTTATCAATGTCAACTTCCGGCCTGCACGCTGAAAATTTTAGGGTGGGCGTTTCAGGTTCTAGCAACCTGAGATACCCATCCAAAATCAGAAGCCACAGTTCTTGGATTGGCCGGATGCGATACCTCATTCTCAGCATTAAAAGCAATCCATATACACGATAAGACAGAAGGATACTATTACGTCGTTTTTCTAGTAATCTCTCCTTAACTTTGTAATTAAATGCTGTTATTTTATCAACATCCGGGCGGTGCGTTGTATGCAAATGTTGAGGTGGGCGTTTTAGATTACAGCAACCCCCAACACCCATGCAAAATCAGTAATAAGTTTCAGTTCTGAATTAATCTGGTCACGCTTTTTAGCTGATGCAAACCCTCATTCTTAGCATTAAAAGCAATCCAAGCTGGGTTAGTTGCACGATTTCTCTTCCTTTAAACAGAAATTTCACATGTTGTCCCAAGTAGCTCATGGCTTTGACAGTGTTGATGTGGGCTTTTCATAGTACCCTTGATCAATTCGATTTTAGTGACCCGTCTTCTAGAACCCAAAACCGTGCGTTTACTATTCCCTGTGCGTAACTATCGATCGGCTTGAAAAATAGAGTCATTTTTCCTCGGCGGCTTTGCGCATTTTACTATTTGAATCATGCTTAGATACCTAGTCTACTAAAGTTTACACTCTGGTACTTCAGCATACTGTACATATCTCGGGGTATTAACTTCACATAACAGAACCACTAGGCGGTTCGACGAAAATTTGCAAGCTCGGACTATATCTTCGCCTTAAAAGATTTAAAGAAAAACTTGACGGAAAGCAAACATGCAAGTTGGATATATGCTTCCTTTACTTGCCCATGATCGTTAATATAGGTTTTTTCTCCAAAGTCATTGTTTTTGCCGTTGCGTGTGGGTTCCAACCACCTGTGTAAATGTAAACAAGGAAGCGCTTTTTTCATTGAACTACCCATATTATTGTTAACGAATTTCGAAGTTGACTTGTTCTTGCATTCTGTATGACCGAGGTAGACTGAAGGTAGTTTTCTAAACTAAACGAGGAACGTTATTGCAAGTGTTGTTATACATAATCCTACCGTTTAAACTAATCAATTTTTACTTTGATTTTTCGATCAGTTAGAGAAATATGCCCAAGAACTGTTGGACATTGGATCAAGTTACTGCGGAAGGTTTAAGTGAGTTGGAAGGGATGAAAATATGATTGCGTGCAAAATGTGCAGGCAATAATACAACTCAAGAAAGGTTTTCAGAATAGATGATGGCTAATTTTTGCGAAAGATAAACAGTTCATTCGAGAGAAAAGGCTTCAAGTTTTAGACGTTTTTACAAGGCGCGACAACCGATAGAGAATTGTAGTAAACTGCTTAAACAGCTGCAAACAGGCAGCCAGGGAAGGTGATTCCCTATCGCAGTGAACGTCGGATTACTTATAGCCGTTCTAATTAGTTAGCTGAAATATTGTACCTTAAATTTCAGATCAACGTCTATTAAATTAAGTTGTATCGCTCCATACTTCTATAGTATTTAACTGGTAGCTGCAAACTATAGTTTTCAGAAGACGACAGACGGGGACTGACAATTTTCTCTTTGCATGCATCATCGGGTAGAAAAATTAAGTTATCTGCACTGACTATCAGGAGCATATTACATATTGATTCGGGTTATACTCTTCTGAGAATTTTGTCGATACCTAGACGCGAATCAGTTTGTCGTCAGGAAATGAATATGCACGATAGGATTTCTTTTGGTATGTGAGAGTGACGTAAACTCAAGTGAACACTTTGGATTCTAGGACGAGTTGCAAAACATACGTATCGTTAGAGAATTGATGCTAGTTTAGAAAAAAAAACAAAATTTTCTACCTTCGTCTCATGATCTAACCTTGCAAATCATAAGGATAAGGTATGATGCTGGCCAATGCTAAATCTGAAAATGTCAGGTACGATTTCCCTCCCCCCAGACTTCGACTACTCTGAATCCACTATCCAAAGCTGTATAAATGTTTAGCCCATTCAACAAAGAAAACCAATTTGCAATAGCTTCAGCAAATTACATTCAGTAGAACATAACGAGATAGTATAAACTCAGGATTCCTCCCTCCGCCGTTCTTGGCCAAGCGACTTTACGAAGTTTTGCTTTTGCCAGCGTTCAGTCCTTCGGGGGGGGAGGGGGGGGATTGCAATGCAAAAATAGTTCCTAATGATAAAAACCAATCATTGAAAACATTTTTTATAATCTCTGCTGAATTCGATCAATAAACCCTAAATTGATTTTGGAGGATACATTGCTCTTCATGCTCACTCACTTGTGTTAATTTTTGTCTTCTTGCGATGAGTAGTCACACTGTCTACAACCGTATCAGTTTGAAGTCAGCAGAAGTGGGTTGAAATACAATCGATGCCTTCTCTCCTTTTTGAAAACAGGACAAGGTTTGTTAGAAAACCTTAGAACGCGCATCACAACGCCTCGTCCAGGAGAACGCAATTAACTACTTTCTCATTACGAAAAAGTTCCGAAAGGAATATACCAAGGATATCACATTTACTAAATTAATAACAGCGACTCCTTTATGCATTAAAGCTTCATCTCTCATGTTGAAAATTCACGAATTTATTCTGAAAAGAAACTTTAGACGTTTCTTAGTAAAAACATTAACCGGTGTTGCATGAGGCGTGTACGGGGAGGGAAGAGGGGGGAATAGTTCACCAATTGACACGTACACTATTAAAAAAAATCACAAACCTTTGCAAAATGACAAAATCCTTTCCCCTGGATAGTCGAGAACAAGGAAACGGATTGCTTTGGTAAATAGACTGGGTCTAGGCACGGTATAGCATTCAGAGAAAGTTCTGCTTGCTCCTGAATACTTTGCTGCTATCTTGCGCTGGTATGAAACACGAAGATAATATCCCAAGCAAATATCATCACTTTAAGTTTTAAATCACGGGATCCCATAATTAGGCTAGACTCGGTCTAATTGACTGACTTGAAATCGATATTGTAAAGCAACAATAACGTTTCGAACTCTGGCAGCAAAGGTCAGTCAACCTGCTGTTTCCTCTGATTAAGGCCTTATCATTGCTCCACGTAGAGCACGTTCACAGATAGCAAGAGTATAAGTTGTAGTGTAGTGTAGCTCAAGATCCGGTCCGAACGAGGAAACGATTTTTCGAAGTTCTCGCGCGTCGATCTAAGAAGGAAAAAGAAGCACAGTATAGGGTTCTTGAACGCTCACGTCCCAGCTTGAAAATTGACAAATCTATACCTCATAGGCACGGAATGATAAAAAAATATAAAGAAAATAAAAAAAGAAAGAAGATTCATTCCTTATAGTTGGAGATACATCCACCTTTAAAAGTTGCAAAAATTGCAAGGATTTGATATCTGAAATTAGCTGCTGCGATTTTTTTTACTGTCTCGAGGAAATCAGACGTTTGGTAAACAAGACTTTTTTTCAAGTATCAAGGCATTTCTTTTAATAGAGCAAGGAAATCACGTGTTTTCTTACAAAAGAACTCTGTTTAGCACGTGGAAGAAAGGGTAAATTCTGGCGGATAGTGAAAAAAAAAAAAACTGACTTCCCAGAAGTCGAAAATGTAACCTCACTTGACAAACACCCCGCACGTGAAAAAAAGTGTGTGAGAGAAGCTCTGTCGCAACTCTTCCAGCATGTTGCGTAGCTTTTGTTTGACAGAAGGTGAACAGATTTGAGGATTAATTTTCCTTTCTTACTTTGCACGACATCTGTTGCGTTTATGTCGTTGTGGTACAGTAATTGGCAATGATAACTGCTTCACCCAATCCTACTCCAAGCCAGAGGGGTTTTTTATTAAATGGAATCCTGTGTTCTGATTGGCTACACGAACGTGCAAGATAAGCCCATCATAATTATTATAAATGATCCGGAGATTTTTCTTAAGGATGAACTTGTTTAAGTTACAGTTAAGAAATTAAGAAAAGTTTTCTGGCAAAAATGTCTGCTTTAGTCCATATTTCTATGAAACACGTGTCCGTGATGTTTTTGTTTTTCTAAAGGTAAAGGCGCAAACGAACCAAAGGCTCATGCAAACGGCCGGAGCTTATCCCAGTTTCCTTGGCATGACGCATGCCTAGTAGTATTGCTACTCCGCCCTGGGCGGGATGCTATGTCGCTGGTACCCATTTATACACCGGATGAAGAGAGACAAAAGGGAGTAAAGTTCCTTGTCTAAGAAAACTACGCGACGGACGAGGCTTGATCATGAACCCCGGACTCTAGATCCCAATTTCGAAGTGTTTTAAACCGCTCTGTCACAGACGTGTTTTTTCTAAGAGCCGTCTTAGGAGGGACACTATAGAATGTTCCCTTAGTGTCCGTTTTAAACGGGCTCCATTGTTCACGTTTCAATTAACCCCGCCTCAGACTAAAAAGACCACTGAAACTGGAACCCCGTTACTCAACCTCGTCCCCAGGGCTTTTCCCTCAAAAAATGGGTGGGCCCCACCCATTTTTTGAGGGAAAAGCCCTGGGGACAAGGTTGCCCGTTGCTGTGACCAGAGAAATAGAAAGGGAACTCATCAAGTGGCACATTTTCCTACCTTACACGGGGTCGGATAGGTCCGCTGGATAAGGGTAACGAAGCCTCTGGGTCAAGTTATGATTAGAGAGCAATTCTTACACATGTTCGTTGAACAGAGGTGTCCGTCTTACACAAATTGTCATTCCAAACATATTTGGGAATCATAACCTTAAGCCAGTCACACATTAATCATCAAGAATTTGTTGGGACTCTTTTAATTTTGGACAAAAATTTGCCTGGAAATAAACCCGTCCGAAATTTTTCATGTCCGCGGAAGATTTATAGGACACGTATTAAAATAAAAGGGTTGGAAGTTTGTAAGGCAAGGATTCCTAGGCTTAAGTAGAAGAGGGCCAAAAGGAGTTAGCAAAACAGGAACAGTAAAAAATAATCGGGCTGCCTGGATGAGATAAAGCAGTAAACATAAGAATGGAAATGAGGATTATTAAATGAGGATCATTACCAAAATCTAAAGAAATGGAAAACGAGGCTCTACTTATCTAACGTCCTAAATTTAGCCCGAGATCTATAAATCTCGACCTCGAGATCTATAGTCCATAAAATTGACCGTCCGAAATTATACTAGGCGAAAAGTATTGAGCTCTGCATGATAATAACCCGGAAGTCACGTTTTACCCTTTAAGTTCAAAGAATATCTACGAATCGTTTACGATCAAAATTCAAGGAAGAAGCCGACTTTCTTTTGTGAAATATTGAACTTAAAAGAAGCAAGTAATACCTTATTGTACAGGCATCCCAAACTCAAGCGAGCGCTTGTTAAAAATTAACGAAAAAATCACAAAAATTAAAAGGTCCTTTCAATGAAGGTTAAGACAGCATGGTAAAACCAGCCCCAATCACCTCAGAAATACACAAAGACACAAAATAGAGCTCGACTGCGAGCAGTCTCTTATTTTTCTTTGCAAAGTTACGGCTCACGAAAGCTAAGCACGCGCGAGCGGCGAAGCCGCGAGCCGCGAGAATCGAGGGCGTAATAATAACGTCGTGGTTTGCAATCGCACTGGATGAGATAAGAACTTGACGGATTTTAAGAGAAAAGGCGGACTGCAAGCAGTCTAAATAGAGCACAAGTAAGTGTACTTTATTTCGTTTCATTACAGCAAGCTAAGATAACGCGAGTTTTTTCGACTTTTTACTGTTTCCATATAAACACTATAAATCACTTCGTTACGCAACATTGCCAGACGAATCAATTTTTAACAAGTGCTCACTAAGTGAGTTTGGGATGCCAGTGCGTATAGTATCGTGAGAGATGAATTCACTTTTCATCCTCATATATCAGTAGAGCTAAGTTGCATCCTTCACAATATCCGAGAAAGAGTGATAACTGTACATAGTTCCTGCTGACTAATAGACGTATAAAGGCTTAATTGGATGCAGAAACACGAAAATCATAATGTAAAACACATTGCCCAACGGATGGGTTTAAAACATGAGAATTAATTTGTCGATTGAAGAGTCGATAAACATGCTGCGGGTATGTATTTACCATGACGGCATAACACGGAAATGGATGGGATTACATATTGAGTGATTAAGGTATTTAAAAGGTGTCAAGACATATACGAATACATTTGGTATCAGGTCATTTATAAATGTAACTTTTTCCTTGGGTATATCACCGTGTAGATGTTCAAGCCCTGACGTGCTTCACATCTTTTAGTTGACACTTCCCTACCTTCTGGACTGCAGGCGTTCGAGCGAAGAAGCCTGAGTATTAGACCCTCCTTAGGGGTTAGGGGAGAGGGAATTTTAGAGGGGGAGGGGAGGGGAGAGGGAAGAGAGAGAGAGAAGGGCCTGTTACAAAACCATTCAGTGAACTTTGTGACTAGGGCTTTCCACAAGTTGCTCGAGATTTTTCCAAACGTTTCCCGGAATTTCTCAAAAAGTTGCTAAAAAAAAATCAAAAGTTGTGACGAAAGTTGCTCAACAGTTGCTCGCAAAAAAGAAAACTTTCTTTGGTCTGATGCTAAAATATGAAAATTGTACAACAAAAGTAAGATTTCTAAGCATTATTGTGCAATTTTGCGATGTAATCAGCTTTGCTAAATAACTTAGTCATCAATAAAAACCAAAAAAATGAATTGAGCCAATAAAATTGTTGAATGACCTTCTTCACCCGAGACACTCGAGTCAGTCGAGTGTGAATCTTCGTCCACCATTTTGAATTTTCTCTAAAAACCGCTGACCAAGCAGCCCGGCTACTTCATGATCTGCCCCAGTGGGGAGGATTTGGCTCCTTTTTTGCAGGAAACATTGTGAAATATGGAAGAAGGCCAATTTAAGCACTAAAAGCTGCTCCGACATCTCAGAATGAGAAGATAACTAGAGAAATTGCTCAGAATGCTCAAAACGAAAAAAGTTGCTCGAAATACGAGAAGCTGCCAAAAAAAATTGCCGAACAACTCATGTGGAAAGCCTTACTTGTGACACATCCAAAATCTTGATGTGACAGTCTGATAACACACAAGTTAGAAGGAACCTTTGAAAGGTCATTTGCTAACCTTTCCCGACCGCTTCCGCCGGGTCATGTACACTATCAACAGAAAAAGAATTAAAGCGCTATTTAAACGTAGCATGCTACTTGAGGTCAGAACAAACTAATTACACTTGCATCTCAATAAAAGGTCTCCTCTCTTTCAAGCGGCCGCGCGGCTTTCTTTTGGCCATCCCGACGAGATTTAATTGTTCTCACCTCTATCAAGCGCTTGATACTCTTAGTCTGACTCTATCTACGAAAATATGATGAAAGAAAACATTGTCCTAGATAGAAGACGACTAATTGTGGACCAGCAATGCTGCTTAGCTCTGCTTGGACCATCGCGTGTTTGCTTTACAACTCTCTCCTCCCCTCAGGGTTCCATTTGGGTATTCCACATGACGTCACTAAAATTCAAACGACAAAACTATCGATCCTACTGAGATTTTACTTTTATGATGTATTAGAGCAGCTGAAAACTAATTTTCATACAGTTTTCGCTTCGAAAGGGTTCTTGGTTTTGTGTTAGAGTAAGCTTGAATTCCTAAGCCTTTGCACGACGCGGAATCCACATGACGGCCGAGAGAGCTGTCATGTAGATCAAAAAAGTGAATTATTTCGGAGAATTTTGCTATCTAAACAGTTCATGTATTAGAAAAAGTATTACTTTAATGTTTATGAGTTCCTCGAGGAATAAATTCACGCTTTTGTAGCAAAACTCGGTAACAGATGTTTCTGTTGGTTTCCGTCCGTCATGTTGGTGCTCATCCGGATGGGCACCAGCATGGCGTCTCCAAATTTGGATAAAACATTCTCGTATTCGAAATATTCCTCTGATACTTAAATCTTGGCGAGGGTCTTTACATATTTACCTCCTTTCATTTCCCAGTTTCTGGACTTTATCTATTGGACGGGTTTGATTTTTATTTTGATCAATTTTGAATAGCGTGACACTGAAAACCAGCAAAAGAAAAATTAAAAATTGGTTGTCCCCGCGCGCTTTCTTTTCTCTCTCTCCCCAGCTTCCCTATGACACAAAGAAGCCTCTAGGAAGGAAAGAGGTATCAGAATGAAAGTGGTGTTTCTACTTTGACGAACCGCTCTGTAGACTACGCGTAGTCCCCACTTTTCCTCAGGGATAGTAGAGCGAGCGAAACGCGAGCGCGCCTGAAAATCACCCCACGCCGCGTGTCGCCTTTTCTCTCGTGGGTGATTTTCACGCGCGCTCTATTATCCCTGAGGAAAAATGGGGACAATGCGTAGTTTAACCGCTCTGTTGAGCGGCCCATCTCCAATTAAGACAAATATTAAACGGCGGCCACTTGAAGGTACCCTGAGGGTGGCCAACTAAAGGAGGCCGCTGAAGGTATGGAGTAATAAAAATAATGACAGAGCGTTGGACAAACAATGAGTAAAACTCAGTTTTTTTGGGTACCCATGGTAACACTTTGCTTCCTCGCCCCCCCTTGCCGCCTCCCTGTGTCATCCCACATGTGATGATAGTTTCAAAATAGAAACGTTTATTGTTGCAACAGCGATACAAGGTCATTTGTACCTTTGTGTAAAACCACCTGCTGAGAGCACGTACCATAACAGCGAAAAATAAAGCCCATTTGCCGTCTTCCGAATCTTGTTTGCACTTTGGCCTTTGCGGAGCACTCAAGCAAACTAATTAAAACAAATTAATAGGAAACGTTTTAAACCCAGTTTCCGACTGATGGCTTATCTCCAGGGAAGTGAAGAACTCGGATCTCTGCAAACTATTTTATAATGATAATAAAATTGTACTAAAAAACATTCTTTCACCTATTTACTGACTACAAATCAGCCACTTCAGCATATATGAATTTGTATGTGTGAAGTCGACTTGTGCATGTAATTGACCTTATAATTGAAATTCTGTTTCCAGGAAATCCGGCCTGACGAGTAAAACCACATCAGCAATTTGCTAGGCTATTTTAAAAACAGAATGTCTCAGAAAGAAAGGCCGGGGGGTAAAAACGGTAGGGCGATAAGTATTTCTCTGCCAAACAATATTATCTTTCCCGTTTGTTGACTTTGTTATTTTGTAGGTCTAGCTTTTGTTGAACCTTTATATGAGATGCAATTGTTATAATCTGCCTTCTTTGTTTTTTACAACCTAAAATCGTGTATTTTTCCCTTGATTTTCATTAAAGCACTTCAAATCTGGAAGAAAACTTTGGGCGGACAAATTGATGACTGGCATTATTTGCTAAACATAGTTCATTTGAATAGTCACATCAATTTAAATGAAGAGTTTAGCAAATTGCCTCATTTTTGTGGGAAGATGTCATCTTCTCATTTGACCCAAACATGCTTCATAATTTCTGTGATAAAGGCTGATAGAAGCTATTTTCAACACCGAATTGCAACAGGAATTTCACCTACAAATTCAAAAGAATCACCTGAAGGAATACAATACTTACAATTTCGTCACGTCTTGGAGAAACAGGTACCGTGCAGAGTGTTATCGATCCACTGCCAACTGCCCTCCTATATCAATTGCTTTGCCCTGCACTCCGCACCAACGGTAATCGTTCTGTTGCCTTCAGCGTGTGCAGTCCAGTATTGTTTGCAAGTCACGTGTTTTTTATGAAGCCCAACGGAAGCCCAAATCTCCCCTGCACGGCCTTGGGGGGGACGGAGGAAGAGGTGGAGGGATAAGTTGTGCGCAAACCGAAGCTATGATTTGGGGCAAAGGTATGAATATTGGTTCAGACCTTTATCACTCTTGGGTATTTCTGATTGGGGTGTGACACCCTATTTCAGACCAGAAAATGTCATTCTCCACACTCGTTTTCAGACCTACCCTGCTGGCAGAGGTTTCTCTCTTGCATGGCTTTTATCGATTACGAATTCGTTCGCGTCGCTTGTCAGTCTCGTAGTTGGTTTGTCCCAGGGGAGGCGCACAAAGCAAAACAACTACGCGACCGACGGAGAACGATTTCGTAAACGGTAACAGCCATACACGAGCGAAACCTCAGTATTTCGAATTCGCATCACTTCTCTTTCTTTCTTATTCGTTTGAAACTGAAAGGACAAATGCTTTCACACACTCTTGTAGTTCCCTCGAAACAGCTGGGGGTACCGAACGACTGTTTTCTGTAAAATATCTGTTCGGAGAAGCAAATATTGCCTAGAATTTTCTATTATTTGAGGGCGGCTACAAATTTCTCGATGACCGTTCCATTCATGTACAATTTTCGACGCCTATCTAATGAATTCCTCATGAATTTTCTGAAGTTTAATTTTCACATTTTATTACCCAGGATAGGCTATTTTTTGTAGAATAAAAGGAAAGCTAAAATTAAATTTTTGTCATTCAAAAATGTGATGGAGAGAAGAATCCGGAAAATTCATACTTTTGTAATACGTCATCTAAAATTTTCGGGAAAATAATACTGAAGACCTTGTAATTTCGAAAAGACCCAATTTTAAATAGGATGACCGAACAGAAACAAATTTTATAGCGTCACTTGAAATGCATTTCTAGATATCTAAAAGTGCCCTGGATAGTCTAAAAAGTGTTTTCAATGAATTTAGGAGAAAACCGTTGTTGGGTGCCCCTTTCAAAAACCGTACCCGATTCCAGACCAAGATGGGCAAAGTCGACATCCGCCTCAGAACAAACAGGGTGGAAAAACCATACCCTTTAGGGCGTGCGGTACATACCTAAATGGCTTATACAGGGGTACTCCCGGAGTCCTCAGAACCCAGTAGGAGTAACAGACCCTCACCCTTGGCTACTTTACTGATTTTGAAACATTTTTCGGACTTTAAACCAGCTGAGCCAAAACTCCTGAAATTCATTAAGAATTAGACACTCAGTTGTTGATCGGAAATTGCTCAACGAAAAGATAATAAAAGGTAAAGAGTGTAAGATTGCACAGATCTTTCTAGATCTTTTCAAAATTTTCTTTCTGCTTCTGCCAATAAAGTAGTCTCCTTTGCAGCCACGTATGGCACTATATAACTTTAACTAAGGCATGCACATTGGTAGACTAATACACTGTACAAATTTTTGAAAGACCACAATTTTTTTCTATAAAAATATATTTTATAAGAATATAGAGGCTAAAATTTGCGAAAGTTGAAGAATATTTTAAGAATAAACCCCAGGCAGAGGTTTTGAAAAGGATATAATTTTGTGTGTTCAAAAACTGTAAATACAATACAATTATATGTTTTCAACTCATTCCATAAACTTGCCAACAAGACGAAAAAACCTGCGCTAACTATAATTGATACCCCAATACAGTCTAAAACGGAAATGTCATAAGCTATAATTTGAGAATAATACAAGAATATTTTCAGCCTAAAATCGGCAGAAAAGTAAGAATCTTCAGCCTGGGCCGGAAAAAACAACATTCTTATTTAAAAAAGAGTGTAGTGGTATCTTACATATATTGCTGGTTTTCAAATGACGACATCAAAATTTAACACTAAAGAATTATCGATCTGGTCCTGAGTGTTTACTTTCATGAAGTATTAGAGCAGCGGGGTGTAGCGTGAGATTTTGATGGTTGCGCACGCGGGGAAAAATAGTGGCGCCGACGTCGACTCAACCTAGGGAATCTGGGGCATGTTCCCCCAGTAAAATTTTAAATTTAGGATCTCGGTACTCTCTCCCCAATCCCCCTCCCTTTTTCCTTTCCTCCCTATCCCCTACCCCATTTCGACGCCTGCAGGCTAGGGTCTCGGAAATGCCATTTCCAGGGCTTTCCGCAGGACATTTTCACTAAATTAATGGGCAGGAAAATGCAGAAGTTAAGTTGTTTCTTTTACCCATCTCTAGTGTTGTCGGAAAGGTACAGTGTTTACGGAAAAAAGGCCAGTGACGCCATCAGACTAGTATGGAATAATAAAGAAATATTAACACAAAGACACCGATACAGCACGAAAAATGTATCAGTCAAATCCCTATTTAATGATTAAAAAAGGCTTTATCAGGAAATAAAAAATATGCTATTTTTTCATATTTCAGCTGTCGACGTGTGTGCATGGGGGTATGTTCGTACATAGACGCTACGCTCTTGGCTAATAGCTAGCATGATTTATACAAATTTTCACTTCGAATACGCTCTGATATCTGATACAGTACGCTTGAATTTCTAAGCTTTTCGTGCCAGTACGAAAAGTTATCAAGTATAGTTTGAACAGTAACGACCCAGAACTAGAACAAGTCGTTCACACACATCGAACATCGTACCGGCGCGGTTGGCTGAGAGGGTTTGCTGAACTAAATTCCAGTCCTCTCTCCCGAATATTTACTTCCGTCAGGAGCCCATCAAATTGATGGGCTCCTGCTTCCGTCTCAGTGGACTTCAGACTTCCGCTTCTGTCCGAATACCTGTTCACTACACCAAAGTGTGGCGCAGAACCTATCCTTTATGTGACGCTTCACTTTTGAGATCAGCGTAGGTTTTTTTGGAATGTTTTTTAATTAATATCATAGCGATGGTTGATTACCAATGAAACTAAACAATTACACCTTCGTCAAGGGCAACACTAGAGTTGTTTGCTTTCAAGAAAGAACATTTGGCAAACATTTCACTCAAATATCAGTTTATACATTGAGGGGGCAAGAAACATAGTTTATGAGGTAAGTCATTCGAGTACGTTCCTTTTAGCTGTGGTACTGGGCAAACGCATGCACACGACATTCCGTACCGTTTTCTTGGCAGATGTCCCTGAATTGCTGAAGTACCCACAATACCTCTCAGGTTTGTCGCGTGGACTTTTACGCTCTTTTCCTGAAAACCTTCCTGGAAATATCTTTTCTTCACTCTTTGCTTCCCAGAGGCTTCAAGTTGTTTTCTAAAAACAAAGATAAAATAAAGACACCGTTATGACGATATCATAATGGGATTTTAATGGCAAGGCATTTGATAATGGTTTGCAGGCCAAGGCGACAGGTTCCAAGCCTATCTTATTTCCAGCCAATCAGAATTTAGGGCGTTCCGGACTATATCGTTCTTAAGCGCGCTTGTCCATGCCCTCGCCCCTTTCGATCGCTCACCATCACGTTGTTCACATCGCTGGTTTGAACCAATTTTCAGCATTTTCCAAAGGATAAAAAAACATTAAAATATCATTGGGAGCTCTCGTTGCGACCATTCTCGAAAGCGACTAGCTCTAGTTACGAACACATTTGTGAGAGCCCGTTTGGACTTACACCCGGGTAAATCACTTCTGCAACACATGGCTTTTGAGCTGTCGTCACACTATATTTGGTAGAAGCGCTTTTTTAGGAATAGCATGTTTTCTGTCTTGCCCACCAAAATAAGAGACAACTCGCAGAGTGCTGTTGCATAGCATTATCTAAATCGTCCAGATGCAATGATTCAGTGCGAGCCTGGAGGACTCCTGAAGGAAATAGAGAAAATTAGAGTGACGTCATACGGCAAACTGCAAACGTGAATTTGAACCACGTGAACAAGTTTTTCCTGAACTTGTCTTTAGTTGTTAATTATAACTACAAGGAAGTCAGTACGTTTACGCCAGTTTTATTCTATATTTTGGGAATTTTTCATCTTGAATCTGACGTTTGCCGTTTGCCGTAAACGCGACGCTAAACCTCTCTAATATCCGTTTGGAATGTTAGAGCAAATGTAACAGTGATGTATAGCATGGAAATATTATAAGCACAAGAGGACTCTGTTGATTCCATAGTCTACAAGGGAGGCGTACGTTAATCAGTATTGTTTTAGCCTGTTCCAGGCGTTCAAATTGTGGGGATGGCCCAAAAAAATGTGAGAAAGAAAAACATCTGAACCGCCTAGAACAAGCTGATCTTGTTTGTTACCTTAATTTGCTCTCTATTTACGGGTTAGCCTGAGTATCAGGCCTTCCTAAAGGGCTAGGGGAGAGGAGTCTCTCCCTTTTTCGCTTCCATCTTTCCCCTTTTCCCCAGAAACGCCTGATACTCAGGCTATTTACGGGTACGTGCGTCGTTCCCAGTTCCTTACTGTTACGCTTTCCCCGGTCACACGTGAGTTCTGAGCATTGCATACTTGTGCACACTTGCTGAAAATGTTGAAAATTTTTAAGCGACCTGCCTCGAATAAGCGCCCACTCTCAAAGTCCAAAAATTTAATAAGAGCCCATGGCGGTTAATCGAATAAATACGGTACCTTAATAAATTGTTGTTGTTGTTGTTTTTAGATAGCCCTGCACTGAAACATGACACCCGGGACATGACATAACACTTCTGACTGTGCAATACAGTACTCTAAAACCGAAATTGCTAAAGAGAAAATCAAGTTTGTATGTGCTTCCCGGGGGGGGGGGGACTTCGCATATAAAAGGGGTGGGGATTGTCGTCGTCTCGCTTAGAGGTGTAAATTTCGGATCTTGGTCTCACTTAAGGTGTTCTGGGCAAAACGCCATCATATTTAGCCGTGAAGGTCTCGTTTAGGATTGTACGCGAAAAAATATAGAAATATATATTTGATATGTATATTTTTAATTTGTTTTATTTACTCCATTCATATAATCCAAGTTTTCTCATTTGTCTGTGTTTTAACATGGTCTCTTTTAGGGGTCAAAAAAAGCTTGGACCACGCCCAGATCGGTCTCCTTTAGGGGGTGTAATTCAAAATTTCCGACGAGCATCCCCACCCCTTTCATATGCGGAGTCTCCCCCGATGTGCTTCTTGCAAGCCAGTAGCTGAATTCAGTCTAAGCTGAAAAGCACACCAACATTAGCACAACCCGAAATTGTATAAGTTTGTTATGTTTGGTTGTGCAGCCAGGCAGGTACCATACAGTACCGTTTTTATAAAATATCTAAGATAGTACGCTCGCTCTGATTGGTTCAAAACCTATGGTTTATTGTGCCGGTAAACTCATAGAACACTGAAAGTTATTTTATAAAAGCAATAGACCACACTTTCTATGGGTTTACCTGCGTGATAATCCACTTGGGACGTTGGGGGAACACTCGAAAAGCTTGTAAATCACTCGTCTTTGAATTAGGGCTCGTGATTTACAAGCTTTTTTCGTTTTCTCCCAGAATCCCGCGTGGGTTATCACACAGGTAAACCCATAGAAAGTGTGGTATATTGTTTAACTATCCTGTGGTAGCGTAATAAGAGTTGCCGTCGCCCTTGAAAAGAAAAAAAACTGAGCATCCTTTGCCTCTAAATGTTACCAAATGAGACTTTAATGAACATCTTTGACGTCCTCCTATCCATACATTTCTTAGTAAAATGCCAAATTATTGTTACCCACAGTAATGACACCGCCGTTGTGAAATGAATAGAATCACTCATCCGTACAGGTTTTTCCATGTTTTTAACATTATCTTCGCACACGTCAATAATTTTCAGGATATGTGTTATCGAAAACCAGCTGGATTTTGTTTTGTTTTGTCGCAGCAGGGACCAGAAATTTGTGACGTCATTAGTGCAAAGCGATCACATAGCGTGACATTTCCCCTTCAACGGATATCGGCAATTCCGTCAATTGCACATGACCAGATGACCTTGAATGTCCTACTTGACCTTGACCTGGTGTTGATCGAATAGTTGCCTTTGCATGCCCTCATCGACCCCCAGAACGCCCCTAATGAGGAAACCCCAAGGCGAGTACAAGGTCACGCCCTGAGGTAGTAGAAAGGTGACGGCAATCAAGAAATTGAAGATGATTCTTTTCACGTTTTCTGACTCATCCGTGATACAATAAAGCATATCATGGGCACATAAGAGATCACGAACAGAACTCAAATCGCCTCAAGCACACAAATGATAATTCTTTTTAGCAGTTCCGATACAAACTTTTGTACAGTACTAAAAGCATACGGTGAAATATTACTGTGGGGTGATTAGGACATATTAGAAACTGCAAAACCGCAAAAATGCCCAAAGTAGGACCAAAGCAAACTCTCTTTTCGGGAATTTTCTTTCTGCTTAAAACAGGAAACCACGCTAAATAATTAATCCTAATAATCCCTAAAATGTTGGTTGAAAACTGACGACTTATAGCTAAAAAAGAGAAAAACCGCAAACCACAAAAGACACTTACACAAAAAACCCAGCAGGTTTTCAGATCTTTTCATGCGAAAATCAGGGCGAGAAATTATCCCCAAAATGGCCAAATCCGAAAAAAACGCTACTGATGATCCTCGGAGAGACGGCTTTATTCGCAGGCTAAATAGATTCTTGCAGGATGTTTTCGTTATTGCAGTGTGCCTCTAAGCGACTAACGTAACCCAGTAACATGACATTCTCGGAAGGGGCAATTTCAGTTTTTCATCACTATTGCTGTAGTGTATCGTCTCAGTAAAACATTTCATTTATCACAGTGCTTATCGTATATTGACCTAACAAGAACAACCACTTATCCGACTCAAATCACAGAAGTTTGAGCCATAGCTAACGTGGCAGGCGTGGCCTGAATCGCTCAAGAGGGAAATAAAAACGATCGACTTTCCGCGACATAGTCGCTCCAAAAAGTTAACTGTATATATGGGCAACTCTTCCAGAGGGCTTGCCGTTTGCTGTTTTTTCGTTCTGTTGTTTTCGTTACCTGTTTGTTTTGGTTCTTTTTCAAATAGAATTTGTTTTACTGAAGGATATAAAGACTCGCCTCCCTTTTGAAAAACTGGGAATTTTTAGTTAAGCCGACAGGATCTCTTTTCGCCCCTTCCTTTGTTTTTTTCTGGCGCTTTTCATATCCAGTAATCGGCTCCTGCCATATCATAGTAATATTTCAGGGGCACCCAACGAGGATATAGTCCAAAACCACATAAACATAGCATTGTTGAACGTAACTTAGTATTTAAACGATAGATAAAGGTTTATTTTTATCCCCTAAAAATTTTTCATCTGTTCGGATTTCCTAGCTGAAAGTATAGTGATCCGAAAATTATAGGGATCAAAATTTACCTTTTCGAAAATTTCAGCCAGAAAAAAGGCTCCCGAAAATTCTAGGTGACCTTTTTAGGGTAAAAATCTGTTAAAAATGGGCAATTATACCATTTTTTTGATGTTCGAAAATCCTAGGAGAGGCAGGCAAGCAAGAAATTTTACAGAAAATGATCCGTCAAATCGTCTTCCGAACACATAATTTTCCGAAAAGTATCGTTGAGTGCCCCTGATATTTTTGCGGATTCTTTTCACGTACTTGTATGACTATCCCGCCCGTGGATAAATACTTTTTGTGTAGGTTGGTCCGAAATTGTTGTTTCGGATATTTTGAAATTAAAACCGAAGTTTTCAAAGTTGACGTTGGACCTGCACTTAGGAGTGTAAAGTTGATGAAGTTCAAGACACGAGGTGCAAGTTTTAGAATGCGAACTGTCAACTTATCAAACCACATTTCTTTCATCCAATAATCTAATTCAAGCCTTTTTTGGCCAGATAATTACAGCGCTAAAACAGAACAGGCGACACTCGGAGCAGGGAGCAGGACGTTTGCTTTCTTTCTTGTTGAATAATTAGCCGTTTAACACTTCCTCTTTGTTATCGCACGAAACCACCAAAATCACGAATTTTCCGGCAATTTTTGTTTTTGGGAACTTGTTAAGTTTCAATGAGAAACTTTTGCTATTAGAAATCACAGTCCTTAACTGGTGAAGTTATCCACTGGATTACTTTAACAAAAAAAAGAAATTTAACATCCACTTTTAAAAAGCTTTGTAAGGTAGATATCCTTAAGCAAAAGGTGACTAGGGATTGGGATTGCGAAAGTTAGATTTACCCATAAGCGAAAAATAAAACCGGTTCCTAATTTGTCACAGCATGAATAATAATATTTGCTCGGGGTTATGAGTGGCAAGTGGTGCATACCCAGCAAAGATCAAAGTATCTCTCGGAATGTGGTGTGTGTGTTGGGGTTGGGGGGGGGGGGGGGGGAAGGGTCAACGCACCTCAAAAAAGAAATATCCAAGTAAAGCATGTGAAATGAACACAAATGACACAAATCAAACCAAGTTTCTTGCGCTCCTTTAATCCAACGTTTTAACCCAAGGGCTCGACTTGGACACAAATAAATTGACATAAATGCTATAAATACAATGAATAGATTCCCTAATCCCTTAAACAGAGGCTTTTAAAACAAGCTTAAATATATCTTTTTCCTAACTGAAGTAATTCAAAAATCTAATACTAACGAATAAGTTAAGATGAAACATTGTAACAGCATGCTTGTAGCCGAACTAGAATTCCAGGTTCCTTGTTTAACGATCATTTGTTTTTCACTTCGTCAAAATGTCTTCGAGAGTCGATCGATATCCATGGTGCTTAACACACCCAAATTCCGGGGGGACACTTTTTTGCTGATCTCTGTACTCGATTGGGCTTTTTCATCTTTTTCTTCAGTGAACGTTTCTTTTTGCAAACCCAGATCCCGGGGGGACATTTTTCCCCATTTGTTTCATTCAATTCATCATTGGCATCCCCTGTGCTGTTTGCAGAAGGCTTGACTTCCGCAGACTGCACTCTGTCGACCGATATCTGCGTTCCTTCTGCCTGAAGTCCTGCATCTAAGTTTCCACTTCCCTTGCTTTCTCCATTTAGCGTAGCACAGGTCCATATTCCGGGGGGACAAGCAGCAGCTGACATCGGATTGTTTAGTGGGACTGCTCGGGCGATGGTTTTCTCGGGATGGATGTCCATGCTGTCATGTTTCTGATAGAGGCACGTCCAGATACCGGGAGGACAGGCTAAACGTTTGAGTCTCTCCAATGGACTGCTGCTACTCAGATTAACGCCGAGCATTACGAAGAAGACTATTCTAACCAAGTGTGATGTATTCATCTGTGTATGATAAGGACAACATGGATTAGCAATCGGATTATTTACCACTTTCATGAAAACACTCTAAAGGTGGAAATGGAATCTTATGGAATTACAGTTGAAGATTCTGGAACGAGCTGAGAAAAAACTTACTCCATAAGCGTGCGCGCCGAGCACTTTCCATGCACGTTAGCGCGCGTGACATCTTAAACTGTGCGCATTTCCTGTTTTTGCACTGGGGAGGGTGGTTGCTGAAACAAGCTACATTTATCAGCGGAAATGAACCCAAAATACATATGCTTCACTTCCTTATCGTATCTTTAAGTTTTTTTTCTACGTTGTTTTGTTTTCCTCTGATTTCATTATTTTACTCCAAAACGTGACCAAAGAAAAATTAAAAAATCCTTAAACATAAGAACTGTTTAAGGGTTTTACCAATTTTGTTTTACTTGAACGTAAGTTAAGGATTTCCTCCACGGATACAAAGGGTCAAGGACTAAAAACAGTCTTCCTAGGTGAAGAACTCGAAGGAAATCAATGAAAAAGGAGAAAAAAAAAAAAATAGTGCCAGAAACTACGTAAACATTCATATCATTTTTGTTCGGATCACCAGTGAAACAAACAAAAGAACGATGTAATATAAATACAACCATGGAGCATGAGAAATTACTTGTGAACGACAAAAGCACAGCTTCGTGTCAAACATTATGTATCCTAAGCATTAGATCAAACGTTACAAACAATAACAATCAACTGATAAAAAAACTGTGAGGCTAACAAGTTTTCAGAGACCATAATTTCAATCAGTTTCAATCTTATCAGTTTGTCAATCCTTTGTATTTTTGTGTTATTTTCATTTTGTTTTGATGTTTTTAGCAATTGCTTAAATGTTTCACTCAATTTGGTGGTTGTTCCCCCTGTTTGAATTCTGATAAATTTCGTGACATGCGCAGCTCTTTTGCTGAGCAGACGAACTTGGTATACCTAAGAAAGACTGCGGGCGCAAGGCGAACTGAGAAATTTGGATGATTAATTGTTTTTAACGTCTTCTCTAAAAGCACAAAAACTGAATAGTCCTTTTTTAGATATAATACCAAATAAAAAGGTAACTGGACCATCTCAAAAATGACTTCCTGACTTAGAAATTGATCATTCACGTATCCAGAGACATTTATCAGGAAAAGTTAAATGTCGATTATTACGAGAGGAATATGATATTAAACATTTTGATTTTGTAAGTTTAACTGCAACTCCACATATCCACAGAGCCTGAGAGCGAAATAATCCTTATTCAGGCCTATTAAATTAGGTAGCGAATGTATGGCTGCACGTAAAGCATCAAATTTTTTGGAGCATCACGAACATGATCTCTAAGCGGGAGGCCTTGTGAGTTTTATGACTCCACATGGGTGGAAGTAAAACAACAAGAGAGTCACACTGGGAGCCGAATGATTCCAGCGCTAAGAGTCCACTAAAATTCCAGACTGGAACGTACTATCCTGAGAAAGTCGGTGGCAAGGATTTTCCTCCGAAAACGCTAAGAAATAAATGCGTTAAATTTTGGAGGTGTTCATATTATCAAAAAACTAAAACTATACCCACTTGAGATGGGACCGCCATCTCTACTTCGTCACTCAATCGGGCCACGTGACTGGCAAAGGCTCGTATCCTTCCTTTTCCACTATTTTAAGATTTTCACTTCCCGCCCTGCAAACTAGCACTAAATCATTTTAGACTACAGGGTATCTGAAGAACAATTTTCTTGCATTCAGTGTAGACAAACTTCGGTGATCCTAGCGTCTTTTTTTTTCAATTAGTATAAAATCTTAACAGTGTTCAGCTACCTCGGTGGATTGTGGCTTTAAGAGTGTTTATTCAGTAGCTATCTTGGGATCACTGTTCATTCCGATTTCAAAGAATAATTTTTGAATATTCTGACTTGTTTTATAAATTAAAGTTCTGGCGACAGAAAATGTACTCAGGTAGTAATTTTTTTAATTCTGACAATGTATTCAAACCGAAAGCGTGCAGACGTGAATCGAATGAGATGAAACGTGACTCAACTAACCTAAGTAAAGTGTAGTTTTTATTTATAATCTCGAGAGGCCAGTCCCTCGTGTACAACCTGTTTTTGGAGTGAATTCTTCTCACGATTCATAGCATGACATCACTTTTTTTTCTGACTCGAGCGGTTCCCATGTGGACCATCGATCAAGAAGTCGAATCTCATGTCAACGCTTCCCGTAATTAAATCTTCTTAGTGTTAACACGAGCCGCTTTAAAAAACACGTCACCGTTGTTTTTGCTTCTGTACTGGACCGAGTAGCACGTCTTGTAACTGTATGCGAAAAGGACAAAGTACAAAATAGCACGTGTTGTTTCTTCATTGCATAATACCATGACAAACGTCTTTCGTGTTGCGTGGTGTAACACCTTTGACACCTTTTACCCGCTGAAAAGAATGATTCGAGTTTGCTTCATTCTGCTATGTCAGCAATATTACGTCAAATCTTCAGTTTCAAGTTTTACTCGTTCAATTTACTCCCACTGTATCGGCTGTCGTGCTGAGCCCCAGTTTGGTTATTTTTGTTTTTCTGTCAAGCACACCCATAACCTGTTAAAACTGTCTAGCATTATACTAAGCATTGTTCTCGAAACTAGAGGGGGCAAGTTTGTGATTTTTTAAAGCATATTTTCATTGCTATATTTTTTACTTGATTTCCTCAAGTATTCTGTAACATCTGCGCGAATATCCTATTCAGAATAATCGGTATTGACTAAAAATGAAAATTAAAATAACCAACCACTTAATAAGGGCCATGGAATTGATTAGTTTAATATCACTTTAAATGAACGGTAGTTAAAGTACATACGGTATGTATTTTACAATAGATAACAACTGCCATGTGCCATATGTCGACTTTTTCCAAAGTTATCTCTAGAAATGCCTTTCTGTAAAATCTACCGAATAGAATTTGGACAACTTAACCTTCGCCTTTTGAGCTAGAAAAAAAAAACCTTTTTTTCTTTTTGAAAACCGCTTTCACCTAGGCAATAGCTTTTTACGGCGAGAGAAACTTCAAATTGATTTAGCACTTAATTGACGTTGTCTCTTCTCAATACACTTAAACTGACTGTGAAAGACACGCTTGTTCCAGAATTAAAGAAGACACAAAGTTAAAGGTTTTGGTTCAAACTGCTCCTACCGGCTTTCAATTTTACGCAACCAATAATCAGCAATAAAATAATTACAGCAGTAGTTGTTAATTGAACTGACCTCGAAATTAATGTTCCTCTTTACTTTGATGGGAAAATCCCTTTGCTGTCTTCAGGTCCAACGATCTTCTTGTGTTGAGTTATTGCCGGTTAATAAATACTGATCAGGGTTGGTCGGACCACCCCTATTAAATAGTCATGAGACCCTTGCGAAATTCTAGAGTTGCGTACTAGATTTCCGGAGATACTTAAGTGTTAGTTTGTATTTTATTTTCAAATCCTGCCTGAGAGCTAGATTTCATCGTACGCAAACAAATTTTAAGAGTGTTTGCTGATCCTTATAACTTTTGTTTTCTTAGGAATTAAATTTCCGGAACCTTTTCTTAGCCTTGCAAAAAGCGCCTGATCTTTAGCACACAATTATAATAGCAGTGATGATAGATCAAGATTCGCAAAAGACAACCTGTCGTTTCTCTTTATAAACTCCTTTTTCTTTTGAGGTCCTTCATGGTTGTACGTGCAAGAACTAGATGTTTCTCTACTCTGGAAGACACATAATAGCTAAAAATAAACAGCCATATTACAGCTTTCAAAAAGAGTAGAAGTATTAATGCAAGAATTTCTCTTAACTTTGAAGATAAGTGTCAGTAATTCCGTGATCGAAAGGATAAAATTAATCCGACTGCCGGTTTTTGCACGAAATCATAAACAGGAATACATCCAAAAATAAGTCTGCTGATTTGTGACCGAAAAGACAGGCTTTGTGGTCATACAGCAGAATGAAAGACACTTTGATACTTGATTTCTATTTTTTTTCTTTTTCCCGCTCAGAGAAAAATGTCGTGGAGAGTCGCATCCGCCCCTCTGATAAATAAGTTCTCTCTACTGTGGTCCCTTGTTCGAGACGTTACAAAGGTTAGTTAGCTTGGGTGTTTTGGCGTGTGCCATGCCACTCCAAAGGAAATTAAAGGTTGAGTCCGATAAACTGCGCAAACTAACCGTATTTTGTCCGTTGTAGCCGATGAACATGGCATCAGTGCTACGTTTTTAAGTGAAATTTGGTAGGAAACGAAAATTAAAAGCAATAATGATGAACTATAAAATAATAATAATAAAAATGAACAAGAACTCATTGAGGGAAGTTTTTTTTGACCTCTGTTACCAAAAGGTAGACTGTTACTAAGACCACGGTTTGATTTTGTGCCAAAAATTTGAATTTTGCTCAAGTGGTAAATCTTGAGTCGACTTGACACTGTTTGATTGGCTCTGCAGATTCGAGTCCTGTCCAGAAAGGGTTAACAAAGAGCAACTTGATTGCAAGGTTGAGAGACATTAAATTCCAATTTACTTCCGAAAATATGCTAACTTTTCCGCGATACTTGTTTGAACTTACTGAATGAAAAGCTCAAAATGAATTGAGAAGTCCCAGCTAACCCTTTAGTCTCTACACATGTCTACTGTGACGCAAGGCCTATGGGAACATAACCTTCGTATAGTTTTCAACTGAAGCACTTGAAGTTGCAAAGTTCGCGCGTAGTACAATGGAAGCAGGTTTAAAGAGATGCGTTGAGATGCAAGAAAGAGAAGCATTTTATAATCTGTCTACCACATTAATATTTAGTTTTCAGGCGATACTTCGTAGGTGCTTGCTCAAATCAACTGTTTCAGTTATCTTGTTATATTTTGATTTCCTCGTGTCCCACTCAACGCAACCGAAAAGCTTTTTGCATATGTTATCTCCAAAGGAAATATATGCGCAGGAAATT